CCTCTCTCTCTCTCTCACTCTCTCTCTCTCTTTCTTCCTTTTGAGGTTATGGAGATTAAACCTAGAGCCTGGCACATATCAAAGATGTTCTTTGCCACTTACTTATTTATACCCTCAATCCTCAAAATTGTAGTTTTCCTCAGTTTCCAAAAGAAGTTCATAGTTACCAAGTGATGGAGCCAACAAAGTACAGACCAAGGCCTTTTCCAGTTCTAAAATGACATTCCTCTTAGAGACTAATGCCCAGCTGGTGACAGTACTGGGAAATCCAGTGACCATTCAGATTGTTTCATTTGTGTGTCAAATCTGTAGTCTTACAGAGCATTGTTTTTCTTTCTAATAAAAATAATGACAATTTTTATCCAGATGTTTGGTGTAGTGTACACAGAGGCAACGGTGGCGCTATAATGTTGGCTCACACTTTTTTGTGGCAGATGCTTGGCTTCTAATTTGACCTGTGCCCAAGTGACATGAATCTAAGGTGAACTTGACAGAAGGGTATCACTGTGGCACCATGGCAGGGTAGATGAAGGTACTGTAGGTGACCCTTAACTCTTGACCAACATCTAGTATGTTCTTCCTACTAATTCAAATGAAACCACTATGATTTTAACTGCCAAAACTGGATCTGAGTGGAGTAGAAGCTGCCTACAACACTTTTCTAGAAAGAGAGGGAGAGAAGGCTGGTAGCCATGTGTGTTTTTCTACATAGAAAGTAGCTTATTGGCCAAAACACTTGAACAGAACAGGAAGAGGAAGTGGCATTGAGCCAAGGCACAGCCAACATCATCCTAGGGTAAATGGGTGGTTTTGTTCAAGTCTTCTTGGCAGCCAGCTGCTGAAAATTAACAGCAAAGTCCAAAATGAAGGGACACAGAACTGGAATGCCAACCCTTAACAGGCAACTAAAGAATAAACTTAAAACCTGCTGCCACCATAAGGTAGGACTTGTGTGATATGAGGAGCTCAAATGTTCTTCCCATATACAATCTTACCACCTGCCAGGACTCCCTGACTTCTTCCTCAGGACAGCCATCGACCTTTGAGTTGTTCTTCAATATCAATTGAAGATTCTTGCTGTCCTTCAAAATAAGATTTCTTGGACATCAAAACGTAAAGTTTGTGACCAACATGTAATTAGTTCTTAACCGTCTTGGAGCACCGGTGGGTGGGTCCCTGTTGTACTCTTTCTGGCTTATTTCAGCCTGGAACTCTTTCCTGAGGCTGGTTTCCTCTTGTATAACTGCATGGCACCAGTAGGCAGGTCTTTGAAGGCTCCGTTGACAAATAGTAAATGTCTTAAGATTTGGGCTGAGGGAGGGTGGGCTCTTCCCTGTCGCTCCATTTTTCACCCGGTTGCTTTATCTACCTGACAGGAAGGCTTGAACTCCTGCCATGTCTAAGTTATACTTCTAAACACTGACTTAATGGCAAGACTCAAAGTGTCATAACACAGCTCCCCGAAGCAATGAAGACAGTCCAGGCCTCGCCGAGAGGTCTGTACAATATCCCATCAGGAGTGGAAAAGGGAACAGAAGGCAGAAGGAGAAAAATAAAAACCAGGCATGTTTAGAAGACACCCGTGGCGCTTCACTTAATCATGTGGAGACAAATGAGCACTCGTTAGGTCGCTGTCTGAGGCTGGAAGGCACCAGGGAGGAGAGAGAGTGGACAACCGTGACCATGACTCCCTCAGCCCTTTATTGGCAGGAATGAAGGGGACTGGGGGATTGCAGCCTGGGCTGGGCAGGGCAGCCTGCACTCAGAAAAACCTCAGTGGGGTACTCAGTTTCGAAGGACTAGACAGTGTCTAAGAAACAATAGACTTTTCATCTAATTTATACGAAGGCTTTGATCCAGATCTTTGGCTAAGCTCCATGTGGGTCACTGAGGAAAGCTCTTTTTAGTCTCTTTTCTTCTTATTGTTAATTCCATAACTGCTAACCAGGCAGTTTTACCGTGTCTATTAGCTGCTGAACTATGGCTTGTAAGGTGTGATGGCCCCTTCTTACCCATAAAGAGCTGTTCTGGAGGAGGAATAAGATATTGTACAGGGAAATTACCTTTGAGATTCATCACATATTCAGTGACATATAAATTAAGATTCTCCAAGATGAAAGAAAAACAGTGCTCTATAAGACTACGATCTGGGGTTGGGGATTTAGCAAGCGCAAGGCCCTGGGTTCGGTCCTCAGCTCTGGGAAAAAAAAAAAAGACAAAACAACAAAAAAGACTACGATCTACTGTGATGTACATGACTGTTCTCTACCACGGGCTCCATCAACCATAATGTTCTACTCAAGTGCATGGTGCCTGAAACCAGGAGTCAGAGAAAACCCTTATTCTCTTAAGTAATTTTTGTCAGATATATTTGGTCACAGTGACGTCAAACATAACTGATTCTTCCTCCCTTGATCCAAAGCATCTCATGTCAGTCTTGGTGACTGACGGTTTATGCACAGAATCCCTGATGTCACTCTGAATTTATCCCTGTTGGTGGAATAAGCCAGTTAGTTCTTTGGCCCAATTTGGACTTAACGCTGTGCGTGCTGGCCTTTGTGAGCCTCCCTGTGGATGCTTGTCCCTGCTCTGTGACAACTCACAAGGTTGCATCACAGCTCAGCAGTGGGTCTGTCTTCTGCAGTCTCCATCTGCTGTGTCCTGTGATCCTTTGAGATCTGCAGAGCGCCCTGAGCATCTCTCCATGTGGCCACCTCCAGACAGCATCCATCCAACTCCTGTAGAAAGCCCACACCCTCGGTGCAGGCCATCTGTGACTCAGCTCTGGATTAGTCATTTTTCCCTCCACTGTCCCCCACGCCTGTCAACAGCCCTCTCCCATAATCCACTGCGTTTTCACAATTCTCTCATCTGTTCCTGCTCTTCCCCCTCCCCCCGACACCCCAGCCCAAGTCAGTGAGATCTCTACTGCTTTTCTCTGCCTCCCATTAGGCTACTGTTCATTTTCCCCTGCATTTCCTTTAGGCTTTTACCAATAGCTGGCTCCATGATGATAAGAATCAGTCTTATAGCATTGGGGGAAAGTGCCATAGCCATATGCTTGGAAAAAACATAGTGCATGTCAACTGCTGAAAGAATGAAGCCATTGTAGTGGAGTGATTCTTGTGTCAGCATTGAATCCCCTCATACATCTACCTATGTTTAGTGTGTGTGTGCACGCACAAACACGTGCATGTGTAAACAACTCACTGGAGTCTGTTCTCTCCTTCCAACATGCGGGTTCTGGAGATTGAATTCAGGTCTTCTAGTTTGGTGGCAAATGCCTTTGGCTGCCCCCCAATCTCCTCATTCTTAATGATTCAATGGACAGGATGAGCATATCCACTGGCTTTCCCAGTAGCCAAGACAGGTTGTAGCATTACTTACTTCGTTACAGTAAAATAGTTTTGCTTCCCAGTTATCTAGGTGTATAAAAAGGAGTCAACAGTAAGAGGTGTCCTCTAATTCATTACCAAACAATTGTGAGTGCTTTGATTTTCCATTTTCAATGCTGTGAGGAAAATTAAAGGTGCATAGAAAATTCAAGATATGTTGGATATAATTCTCAAAGAATAAATAAAAACATTCTTTCTAAAAAGTGTCTAGAAATGGTATTCAGCTCCTTTGCAAAAGTCAATGAGCAAACTTAAATTGATTTCTCTTCTATATTGAAAATGTTGCACATGAAATTCAAGCATGCAATACCACAGTAGGGACCAGGAAACGACATGTACCTGCGGATACTACAGAGCTCAAGCATGGAATTTTTAAGATGTGCCACAGAAAAGCTTTGTCATTGATACATCTGGTAGAGGATTACTATCCAGGATATACAAAGAACTCAAAATCAATCAATCAATCAATAAATCAACAAGAAGACAAGCAACCCAGTTAAAAAATGGGATAGTAACATTAACAGACAGCTCATAAAAGAAAAATACAAATACAGGGGGGAAAATCAGCCTCATTAGCTATCATAGAAATATAAATAAAAAAATGTACCGAGATTCCATCATATCCCAATCAGAATAGCAGTCACTAAGAAAACAAAGAACAAATGCTCGCAGAGGTGTGGATAAAAGGGAATCCTTGCTGGGCGGTGGTGGCGCACGCCTTTAATCCCAGCACTCGGGAGGCAGAGCCAGGCGGATCTCTGTGAGTTCGAGGCCAGCCTGGGCTACCAAGTGAGTTCCAGGAAAGGCGCAAAGCTACACAGAGAAACCCTGTCTTGAAAAACCAAAAAAAAAAAAAAGGGAATCCTTGTGCTGGCAGGCATGTAAGCTAGTCTAATCCCCCACAGAAACAAGTACGGAGCCTTCCCAACAAGCTAGAAATCAGGCTTTCAGAGGATAGAGCTACACCACTCCTGAGCATTGATCCAAAGACTTCTAAGTCTTACCCCAGAAACACGTGCATATCAGTTCAATGCAGTGTGATTCTAGGTTATAGAACCAGCCTGGGTGTGAGACAGCAGAGAAAATAAGGAAATAAGGAAAAGGTAGCATAGATACATGGTGGTTTCTATGTCATCTGTGGTAAAATGGATGCAACTGGAGACAAATGTACTAAGCAAAGTAAGCCAGCCTCAGAAAGATGGAGATCATATGTTTTCTCTCATTTGCAGTCCCTGCTTTTTATAGTCATAGAAAACCATGTTAATATAAATTAAATAAAAGTAGAAATGAAACTATCTAGGTGAACAAAGGAGATTAGTGTTAGAGGGGAGAGATAATGGGGTAGAGAGAGGGTAATATAGTGGGTAGTGAGGGATAGAGGAGGGAATTCACTCAATATAAAATATATACCTTTAAGAAAAATTTAAGTTAAATTTTAAAAATTCCTAAAATTTTTAATGTGCCCTCAGAACATAGTTATTAAGTAAAAATTCCATATTTCAACCAGAGCTTGGTCTTCAAAGGACTCTGCCTTATTTTCTTGGGCAGACTTCATGGTGTTTGAGATTTGGAAAAGGGGAGGGGCCTGGAGGTCAGCACACTCACCTGGCCAGTAATACATGTAGACCTTCCTCCTGGCCTTCATCAGAGTGATCCACAACGGTTCCGACCCATTCCACCAGAGCGGCAAAAGGCTGTCTTGGTTGACCCCAATGTCGAAGGACTTGTTGGTTCTGGAATCCCACATGTGGTTCCCAATCATCTGGTGGACCTCACAATGGCGGCCTGCGGGGATGAGGGAACACATGGTCGCTTTAGTCTTTGTTTTTAATCTTTGTTTAACCTGATTGCAAGAGCTTCTCATGTTCATTTAGGAAAGAGAGAAAGTACCACAGCTTGTCCTTTTCTTAGGTGATGCCATGGGGACAAACAAGATAGCCACCATTGGGTTTGAGGCCAGCCAGGTCTACACACCAGGTTCCAGATCAGCCACAGCAGTGTGATGAGTCCCTGTCTCAAAAATAAAACAGATATCCAATAGTTGATTGAAGGTGGGATCCTTTGCACGAAGCTAAGCCTTTCCAACGGCTCTGTTTTAAGTTACATTGAGGAGACCAGTGAGATGGTTTAGTATGTAAAAGAGCTGGTCACCAAGCTTGAGAAGCTGAGTTCGATTCCCAGAACCTACAGAGTGGAAGAAGAGAACTGGTTCTCTCAAGTTATCCTTTGACCTCTGGTCCTCTGACTTCTGTGTGAGCGAGACACACACACACACACACACACACACACACACACACACACACACACCACATTTTGTCATAGCCTGATAGCTACATATGCACCAGCCTGGAAAGAGTGGATTCTTGTGACAGGTAACTTAGATTCTGCATCCCTTTCAATCTCCTCCTTTCTTGGAAGAGACAAGTTACTGCTTCAGTGGTAAACAATGATCCACCCTATAACATATGGAACCGAAGAGTGCAAAACAGACTCCAGTTGGGGAAAAAAAAAAAAGCAAGAAAACACCCCTCCACATGGAGTGAGGTACCAAAGCGAGGGCTGGTTCTGTTGGACAGAGTTCCATCCCAGAGGAGAAGCCAGAAGTGAAAGACGCAAGCACTGGGACTCTTTGGAACATTAGATTAAATTATTTATTTTAGAGCAATCTGTTACATCTTTAAAGTTAAAAATAACACAAACATTGGCGAGGGCATCAAAAATCGCTGCAGTGTGAGCGAGTCATTTGGCATGGGGTGTGTGTGGGGGGGGAGACACACTTAAGCAAGCCCTCCAAGCAAGTGTAATCAGAGTAGCGTTTTCTGTTTGTTTGCTGATGTTATTTCTTCTAGTCTCCCACCCCCCCAGCCCCCCACCCCCCGTTTTTAAACAAAAACAAAGAGGAACTACCAAGGGCAAATGTTGAAACACTGAACGCCAAAATTTCTAAAAAGAGGAAGCCTTCTCTCCCATCACAGAAAGCCAGACATTCCACAAACCACGCTTTGCATGTGAAGCCCAAAGATCTAAACGAAAGAGTTTTTCCCCAAAGCTGTAGCATTAGTATTTTTATCCCCACTGAGGATTTTGCTTATGAACTAATAAAATTTCAAAGTGAAACAGAACAGAGACGCTAGACTCATCAAGCAATTTCTCCATGGTTAAGGAATTTGACTTGCACTTATTGAACACACACACACACACACACACACACACACACACACACACACCTATCTACTATATACTGCGATAAGCATAGAGAGTCAAATGTGAAGCATGGTCTCCATCTTCAAGTGGTCTTTAATTTAATACCCAGCAGAGGGTCTTTGCATAAACAAGATGTGCTTCCAGGGACCCAGGAAGCCAGGAAGGGGACCAGACTGCAGCTTCCCTTCAGACTGGTGACCATCAGTGATGCCTCTGTCGCTAAGGAGAAAGGGGAGTATGGTCTGACTAGTTCATCAAGTAGAAACGTCTTTCTTCTTGATTAAAAAGGTTTAGTTCGGGAAAGTTGAAGCTCATTAAGGAGCCCCCCCCGCCCCACCCCTCCAGCAAAAGCGCTTATGAGTTCTTTAGAACAATGAATTCAGACACTTCTCTTCTTCATGTCTGTTCGCTCATGTTTCCATGAGGCCATTATGAGAATGGCCACTGCAAAGGTACTTCCCAGAAGGTGCTCAGTGCCAAGAAGCACAAAACAATCAAATTCGATTTCTAAAGTACTTTAAACAAGCGCCGGACGCTACGTCCCTGGGCAAGCCCCTCTTCCTTCACCTCCGTCCCCAGTGCGCAGAATCCCGAGTCCAAACCCTTCCACCTTCCTCGGCTCTCTGCGGTCTAACTGAAAAGTTAGGAGGGGCTTCCTGGACGCTGTAAAGCTGTTGTGTCTGGATTGAGAGGAGGGAAGCAGGGAAGGAAGAAGGAAGAGAGAAAGAGAGGTAGGGCCTGGAGAGCCTTTCTGGAGGATCCAGCCATTCCACAAAGAACCACCTCAGACTCAGCTCCAACGATGGGTTTTTTGGTGGCCTGCCCTTACTGTTCAAAGGCTGAACAGCAGGTGCTGAGCCAGTCCCCAGGGTTAGCCCTTCGTTGCAGAAAAAGCTGCCTTTCTGAAAGCCAGCAGGAGGCTGGACGTCCCTAGCCCATCTGCCCCTCTGTCTTCTCCCCCAGCTCAGCCTCCTCTGCTCCCAGGAGCCCAGCGAGGCTGGCGGCGTGTGCTTGGAGCAGCCTGATGCCTGACTCCAGCAGATTTCTTTACCTAGCCTCCCTCTCTCTTGCAACTCATTCTTGCGATTTTATTGCAGGGGTGTGTGTGTGTGTGTGTGTGTGTGTGTGTGTGTGTGTGTGTGTGTGTGTGTGAAAGTGGTAGCTGAGAAAACAGAACAGAACCAAACAAAACACAGTGTACCAGCTTCACAGCCTACATAGTGCTTCATCTCCATCTTCCCGCCTGACCCATATCTATTTTTACACCTCAGCCCAGGGCTTGATTTTTCTCCGGTTTGTGCTTTCCACAGAGCCTTGCTATGGCTGCCTCTCTGGAACAGTTACTCAAAGCGTTAGGAGAAACTTTCTGCAGCCCAGCTCTTGGTATTTTCCAGTAACGATGCAGTCTTATTTAATGTGTTCTGGTGCCATGGTACTGCCAGAGGCTTTCTAGCCCTGCACCAACTTCCGTATTTCCACTACTGTGGAATTCAGCAGCCTTCACGGGACACAGGAGAAAAGAGGCTCTGTGAACTGTATCTGTCACTGGTGGTCGCCAGAACTTTCTCTTGGCTAAACTTTATCCAGGCTCCTCTTCCTCTGAGCCCTCTGTTCAACCATACCTGTCTTCAGCTTCCCTCTTGTGGAGTCCAGTTTAAGAAAGAACACTGCTACTTGGTTTGGGGAGAAACCCAGACCCCCATCCTCGCTTGCTTCCCAGTTGTGATAAAACACTGACCAAAGGCGACTTAGGGGAGAAAAAAAGTTTGTTTCATCGTGTAACTTCTAGGTCACCATCTGTCCCTAAAGGCAGTCAAGGCAGGCACCAAAGACAGGAACCTGGAGGCAGGAACTGATGCAGAGGCCATGGAGGGGTGCTGCTTACTAGCTTGCTCCCCATGGCTTGCTCAGCCTGCTTTCTTATACAACCAAGGCTGAGCCCTCCCACCTCAATCATCAATAACAAAAATATCCACATATATTCCAAATACTAGGTGGGATATATTAAGAATTCCTTATCGCTTATCAAAGAGTCAGGTGTAACTGCATGCCCTGATCACCTCACTTGTTGCTATGAAGATCATCTCTTTCTTTTTCCTGTCTGTAGTCACAGCAGGACTAAGGGGCAGCCCAGAGAAACACACATAAGGCACACGAACATACAGCCTAGTCTGTCTGGAAGGGTCCAGGAGGGCTCTTCAGAGAAGCCAGGACTTGACAGGTAAGTGAGGTTTCTCCTGCACTCCACACAAAGATGCATAGAAAGGGGCTAGGCAGTGGTGGCACACGCCTTTAATCTCAGCACTCGGGAGACAGAGCCAGGCAGATCTCTGTGAGTTCGAGGCCAGCCTGGTCTACAGAACGAGATCCAGGACAGGCACCAAAGCTACACAGAGAGACCCTGTCTCAAAAAACAAAAACAAAACAACAACATAAAAAGATGCCTTAGAAAGGAATGAAGAGGTGAGACACGGGTTATTTCTTAGGACAAAATAAAGATGCTTGCTTTTCTTTTTTTTTTAATCACACTTGCTGATGAAAATAAGAATGTGACTCACTTGCTTTGAACAGAGCGGTACCCTCAAAGCTGTGCTGCCTCAGCACACTAAACAGATCCAAAGCTGGACTCCCTCAAGATCCTGGCAATAAACAAATCGTGCCGTTTCATTTAGGGCTGTCCAGTGGAGAGGACTAGAGTGGTCAATGGTGAAACCACACAGAGGTCATCATTTCCATCTCCCAGGACTAAAGAGCAGGAGGAAGGGTGTCATCATCAAGGACCCTCCTCTATCTATCAAAACCCCTTTCTGTAGGATGTAGGTCCGCTGTGAAGAAAGAAGTCCCACACACATGGACAAACAGAATCCAAAGGCTTTTAAAAAGAAATTTACATTGATAGCTTTAACAGAAGTTCTTAATATCAGAGACCACATGGGCTGTGTATCCCCTGGACACAGACATGTAAGTTTCAGGGTACCACTGGGCACATCTCTGACAGAACTGGAAGGGGCCTCAGGTGGCTCCTTTCCTCCGGGATCTCCTAACACTTGATCCATGGGGTATGAGTTAGTGCTCAGTCAAGTTGTCCTCCTTTGTGCAAGGTTCTTTTTTTTCTCAGTTTCAGCTAACTCAAAACCAACTGCAGCCTAGAAACATGGAATATTCTAGAAATAAGTAATCTGTAAGCTTTAAGTTGCACACTGTTCTATGGCTCACTTTCAACACAAGCACCGTGATACTGAGAACGTCGATGGATAACATGGTTACTAAGTAACTAAGAAGGAGGCAGTGTATACAGCAAGGAAACACTGAACGAAGGGATGTCTCGCATCACCAGTGGGAAAGAACGTGGGGGTGTGGGAGTTCATCACATACCCCCAGCCGTAATGCAGACCGACTTCCTAGAGATCCATGAGAAACATGAGTGCAATGCAGTGAGAAAGGGCAGGAGCCGGGGCCCCAGAGCAAGCCCAAGCGAGCTCCCCAACAGGGCTGTTATTACAGCTGATTGTGACAGTCCCTCTCTCATGTGAGTTGTGACTGTTAGCCTCTTCCTACGCCTGGTTTATAAACCATACTTC